TCGCACGTCCCAGACGCGCAGTCCAGAATCACGGCCGCACAGACAAAACCGTCGGGTGACCACAGTGATCACACGAGTTTCTAAGACAGCATTTCGCACAGCCATGAGCGGCCGACTTCCGCCCTCAAGGGGCCTCGTGCAACGCGGGAATGCAAAATGCTGTAAGGTCGGGGTTCTTGGTTCTTTCAGGGTTTTTCATTTGTGGTACCCAGGAGTACCCGAGCCGTTTTTACATCCCGAGTTGTTTTCTGATGGTCCCAGGGCCCGTCGCGATCCCCCAGGGGCCGAACATTGCGAAAGACTTCCGTCGTGTCGTGAGTTTGGTCACGACTTGCGGAGGGTGTAGTTTTCGAGTTCTGTAATTCGAGTCTCCGGCGGCTGTGCGGGACTATCTGGGCTCCCCCGGAGCGTGCTCGGCGAGGTGCAGCTGCTGGCGAGCATCCCGAGGCCGGAGAGCAGACGGCAACATACCAAGACGCACGACAAGCTCGAAGATCGAATGGGACGGCTGTGGGTTGCGCGCAGACAGCACCCCAGGGAGCCCCGGCTGGCCTCAATGGGTCCCCCGAGTAGCCTTATGTCGGGCGTGTCCCCCTACAGGGGGATTTTCGACGAAAAATAAAAGATACCCCCCAAATGCGCAAAAAGGTAAAAACATACTGAAAAATAGTCCCCAGACTATTTTTGGATCATGTTTTGCTTATGTTTGAGGTATTTTTTTATTTTTCGTAGAAAAAACCCTTTGTAGGGGGACGGGCCCAACTTAAGAGTAGCCCAGGGCGGTCTCAACACAAAAAAATGTAGATTTCACCAGCTTGGAGCTCATCCCGACCCGTATGTTTGGCACCACCTTACTTCGGTGCCGATCTCAGGGATTCCCTCCGATCTTGAGGGCGCACCCCTGTGATTTTCATCGCCTCCTGCCTTGTCCATCTTAGGGGTAGGGATCAGGTCGAGGCTGGTTCGGATTAGTTACCTCTCGTGGCCAGCACCACAGGCCGCCGCGCCGCGCGCACGCAGCGATCATCGAAAATCAAATATCCTCGAGCCCGAATAACATAGTGACGACGTGGCCTCACTGGGGCTTCCGTTTTCGCCTTCGGGACGATACACCTGGGCGGTTTGGCTCGACACACCTGCGGAAAAGACCGTTTATCCCTAATGCTCTTGGTGCTCGTAACTTAGGCCGCCTCCCAAGGGGTGAGGATCCTTTGGTTGCCGATCGCAGCGAGGCGCGAAGCCAGACGCCCTTATGGCTAGGATTAAGTCGGGCCTGTCCCTCTACAGGAGGAATAGATTCAAGAATAGTCAAAAATAGTTTCGGGGCCATTTTTTCGAGGTGTTTTGCCATTTTTGCGCATTGGGGGGTATTCTTGATTTTTCGCCCAGCCTAAGGCTATGCTTAACCTCCTCGTGGTTCCCGCCGCCGCCCGCCGCGCCGCGCGCGCGCAGCGAGGCGCCGCGGACCCCGCGGAGTGCCGCCTCGCCGTCGCCGCGCGGCCCGCGGGGGCGGCGGCGCGGGCCGCGGGCGGGCGGCCCGAGCCGTCGGCGCAGGCGCCGCGCCGGACGACGCCGACGCCGCCGACGGCGACGACGCCGACGGCGACGACGACGACGGCGACGACGACGCCGACGGCGACGACGCCGACGGCGACGACGACGACGGCGACGACGGCAGCGACCGCGAAGGCGGCGGCGGCGCTGTCGGCGGCGACGACGACGACGACATCGACGACGACGGCGGCGGCGGCGGTGGCGACGACGACGACGACGCCTACGACGGCGACGACGACATCAGCGACCGCGGCGACGGCGGCGCTGTCGACACCGACGACGACGACGACGGCGACGACGACGACAACAGCGACCGCGGCGGCGACGGCGGCGGTGCTGGCGACGACGACGACGGCGGTGGCGACGGCGACGACGACGACGCCGACGACGGCGGTGGCGACGGCGACGACGACGACGACGACGACGGGGTCACCTCTGGCAATTCCTGCTAGCGGCCTCTGGGGACCTGCGTGGAGACTTCTGGAGATCTTCGAGTCTTGCAAATCTTGCCGCAGCGCGCTCCGCGCACGCCAGCGAAGGTGGCGCGAGAGGGTTTCCAGTGCCGACCTAAGAAATCCGTACGGACCGTGTGACTCATGTCGCTTCTGGCCTTTCAATTGTGCGGTCGTTCATGGACGCCTCCGAGGGTCCCAATTGTTGGTCCGATTTGGGGGATTTCGTCGTAGTTGGTCGACATATGGACGACATTTTGACGAAATCTGGCAGACATCTGGACGAAAAGGTGAAGAGGGGTGGTTGAAATCTAGATGAAATAGGGTCAAAATCACGTTCATGACAGAGCCGCGGAGCTCCACAGAGGCTCCCATGAAGCTCCACCCGGTTTCAAATTATCAAAGTCGGAGGAGTGCGACACACAACAGTGCGGTGAACAGTGACATCGGGCGGCATAGAGGGTGCGGGGCGTTACCCGAAAGTCGGGTTGATGTTCGCCCGGGGGGGAGGGCTACTGTCAAAATCCATGGTAAGGATGCGCTGCTTCATCAAGGCTACCCTTGCATCCCTGCTTCTTCGGCCCATCCAGTTGACGCCCAGGGAGCTCTCAATGAGCAGCGCAGACAAACGGGGCCGTCTGCGCCGCGCCGACATTAGCGCGTAAGCTGCCCGCGTAAGGTCGCGCGTAAGCGCTCTCCTCTCCAATGTGGCGTGCCACGCTGGCGGCCAACCGTCAGCCGCCGCGTAAGGTCGCTGCGCAGTCTCGCGTGAGACCCGTTGTGGATCGTCGCTCAAGTGGTGGGCGGGACTTCCCAGGGCCTTGTACCCTTAGCCTGACATCCCTCCTGTGGGTTCTGATGGTGCTTGGGTTATGAGGAAAATTCTGGAGGCCTCGCGCGGCGCGCAACAGTTGTATGATCGGATCCACACGTCAGCTCCGTGAGCTTTGGGTCGACAACGTACATCCCCTGTGGCGGATCCAGGCCTTTTGCGGGTAGCTACTCTGCGAGTAGTGGAACGCGCTCGTCTACAAGTCCTCCGCAGCGCAGCGAGGACGCGGACGCCATCGGCGGCACCCCTGGCGCGGGCGCTCCAGGCTGCACGCCGCCCGTGGGGAAACTAAGAGGCACCCAGACCCCAGACCCCCTCGCGCCGTGAAAATATCGCGACGGGAGGTTTTTCGTTGTTTTCGGCCTCTGGGGTGAAGTCGGGCCTGTCCCTCTACAGGAGGACTATCCAAGAATAGACTATTTTTTGAACATTTCCTCGCATTTGGGGAATATGTTTTGACTATTTTTTATGTTTCGCTCACTCCTGTAGGGGGACAGGCCCGACCTAACTCTGGGGGCCCACACTGGGCCTCGGGATCGTCAAGAAACGACTCAGGATGAAAAGCTGGTCCCCAGGGAATGGGTCCGAACCTCTGGGGGTCTCGTCATAAAAAATCATGACGTCGGGGGTCTGGGTACCGCTACTCCGCGGACCTCTCCGAGGGCGCGTTCTGACCAGGATTTCGAGGCGAATCCAGCGGTGGCGACGAGGGCCTCCGAGGAGGCCCCAAAAAGGGGAAAGCGGGCAAAGGGCAGAGGAATGGGTCATTTTCCTCCGAGCCCGTGGCCCAGAATCGGCACACCGTTGAACGATCTGGCGTTGCTGAGGCGGCCGAGGGTTACAGTTTGACAGAGCCTTGCGGCGTCAGAGATCAAGCGCCGGGGTCGACATGATGCAAGCCTGCCGTGGGCTCGGTGCCATCCAAGCATGCTGATACAATGTGTGCGTCGCCCCCACCCCCCAGGGCTCATTTCGATTCCTCCGATTCGATTCGATTCGATTTCGATGAGTTCCGATTCCGAGTCGATTTGACTTCGGGATCCGACTTGGATGCCGATTCCTCAATGGAGGCCTACTAGCCCGCCGATTTCTGCCGATTCGACTTCTGCCGATTTGGCTGCCGTTTTCTGCCGATCCGATTCATTTCGATCGCCGATCCGACGTATCGATTCGATTCTGGGCTCTACTGTCCCCCCCCAGGGACGACGCGCGCACCGAGAAATCTTCTGTTATGTGCGTCGTGTCGGGCGCTTTCTGGCCGTACCAGTCGGGAAACGATCTGCTACAGGATGGTTATGCTGTATTTGCATGTCGTATGTTCGGGTCGGGCGCACGCCTCCGAGAAGTAGACCTGGTACCGGTGTGTCCTTGCGCGCTCAAAGCAAGGGCCAGCCCGGGCCCGGGAGGGGCTCTCCAGTTTTGAGATCGTTCCTTAGGTCTGGCTCGGGGGGGATCTGCAGTCAAGACGCTGAGAGAGGTTCCCCTTTGGGCCCGGGAGGGGCCCCGCTTGCTGGGCCACTCCCTGTGGATCCAGCTCGGGGGGATCCCTTTTTGATGGGCCTGTTCTCCACCACCGCCACCACCATAAGTTGGAGGGGGAAGGGGTCCTCCTCCTCCTCCTCCTCCTCCTCGTCCTCCTCCTCGTCCTCCTCCTCCTCCTCCTCCTCCTCCTCCTCGTCCTCCTCCTCCTCGTCCTCCTCCTCCTCCTCCTCCTCCTCGTCCTCCACCAACTTATGGTGGATGTGAGGGTGGTGGTTGTGGTGGTGGAAAACAGGCCCATCGCTTTTCTTGCCCGAGGCTCACCCGTGGCCTGGCGAGCCCCTGCGTTTCTTTGCGTCGGGGCTCACATGCGGTGGCGCGATGGCTGCAGCCCTTGGGCCGGGAGATTCGTTGAACTCTACGCAGTCGAGCTGCACTCTTCCCTCCTCCTCCTCCTCCTCCTCCTCCTCCTCCTCCCGTTCCACGCCTTGGGCCAGGTGCTTGCAGTGCGGGCCCATGCCAAGAAACATCCTGCTTGCCTCCAGGGTGACCTTGGTTTCCTGGGTTTCGAGGGTTCTGCGATGGAGAGCGCGACGCTTCCGCGCCAAAAGCCCATGGGCGTCCCAGGGTCTCGGGGTTGGGTTTCTTGTGGACGGTTTCTTGTGGACTGGCCTCCGCTGTAGTTGAACTCTACGCTATCGAGCTGCGCCTTTCCCACAGGCAGGGGCCCGGGTTGGGCGGGCATGGCCGTCGGTGCAGCGGCTGCCGCTCGCTTCGTCGCGCTCGCGGCGGCGCTCCAGGCGGCGAGGGCCTGGGAGTGCCGCAGCGACGTGGACCTGGGCCAGGTCAGCCTGGGCACTGCGAAGGGCCTGGCGATGGACGACACCACGCTGCGCTGGTGCTCCCAGAACGTGCCCAAGGTATGGCCCAACGCAGACACGGCGCCCGTGTCCTACCTCCGCCTTTTCAAGGCATGGGATCCGCTGTGGGAGGAGAGCGACCGCTCTGCAGCCTGGGACAATCTCAAGGCCTACTGCGAGTCCAACGGGGTCCGGGTATTATTTGGCACCCCGCTGTCGTGCGACGAGGATGACGACGACCAGCATTGGGAGTGGACCAAGGAGCTCATGCTCTTACTTGGCGAGGAACACATCATGGGACTGGGCATCGGCAATGAGCTCGAACTCCTGCAGTACAAGGGCGGAAACGTCACGGAGGAGTGCGTGGAGCGCATATGGGATGGTGGGTACCTCTGGCAACGCTTCACTGCGATCGTCTCAGAATTGGACGCCATGGGGATGGACAGCGTACCCGTGACGAGTGTGTTCACTGGCGCGGCCCTAGCTGGTGACGGCAACGAGGCCAAGCCCTTCATGGAGGAGCCAGGCAAAGCGCTCGTCACGACGTTCCTCCGCAATGCCACTGAGGCGTATGGCTGGCGCTACACCTTCACGTGGAACTTGTATCCCTACTTCGACCCGAACCTGCCGCTGGACGCAGGCTCGGATAGCACGTGCAACGATGCGTTGGACTTCGCCGCTTGCTGGGGTCAAGACTGCGCTATGGCTTCGACGACGAGATATGCGCGCTGGCTGCAGTTTTTGCTCACAGGCTACAAGAACCATACGGTGTGGATCGGCGAGACGGGCTGGTCGTTCCCTAAGTCCGTGACGTTGACCACCCCGCTGGCAGACTGCGAGGACTGGTCCTCCATGGAGACGTTCCAGACCTTCTACGAGGGGTTCCTGCAGTGGGACCTCACCATCGATGTCAACGGCGACTGGCCTCCCGTGGATGCTGCCTTCTGGTTCACGATCCGAGACTCGATGCAGTTCGGGTACCCGGAGAGCTTCGGCCTCGTCGACAGCTGCGCGGCGCCCGACTGCAAGCTGAGCTCCCAGGGCTTCCAGGTGGCCGCGTACGAGAACTTCTCGGCGCCGGACGGCACGGCCTGCCTCGGGCCCGCCCTGTTCGAGGGCTTCGCGGAGAACGGCCGCGACGAATGCCAGGACCGCTGCACGCAGATTCCCAGCTGCGCGTTCTACAGCTTTTGGAACTCCACCGAGTGGTGCCGCCTCACGGCGGACTGCTGTCCCGTCGTGGATGGGGACCCAGTCGTCGCTGTCTACGCGAGGCAGACGGAGAACACCACCGAGGCGTGCCCGACCCCAGCGCCGCCCACAGCGCCGACCCCAGCCGCGAGGCGGGGACTTCTCCACATCCACCGCCTGGCGGAGCGATCTTCGGGGACCCCTCGGCTGGCAGTGGCTGTGGACCGAAGTTTTTTTAGGCCCTTGGGGGCCAGCCTGTCTGTACACATCGATTCACAGATGCACCGCCCACTGGTGCTCAAGAACGTCGGTACCCCAGGTGGTGGATATGGATCCAACCCCGCCTCGCACCAGCTCCGCCCACGGCGCCGACCCCAGCGCCGCCGCCCACACCGCCGACCCCGTCGCCGCCGCCCACTGCCCCGACCCCATCGACAACGACGGCCGACGTGCCGTCCGCCACGACTCCGGCGGACGCGCCCTCCGTCACGGACCGGGCGCCGCGAAGCGGGGGCGCGCTCGGCGCCGCGGCCTTGCTCGCTGCGGCGGCGTCAGTGTCGCCGCCCTGTTTTTTCACATAGCTCGCCTTCTTCGCAGTACACTCCAGAGGAGGGCGAGTTGGGATTACGATGTTGCAGGCTGCCGTCATGTCGACGCGGCGGCGACCTCGTCGCGGGCGTGCAGGATGGAACACCGACGTCGGCCCAGAACCGGTCAATGCAGAGCGATTTGGGAGCCGAGAAACCGCCGATTCTTCAAGGTTGACCGATGCACGCGGTGTCAGTCAGAAACCAGCGTCGGGGCCTTCACGGCACGAGCCTGCCGCAGTTGGCCTTCGGAGGTCCCCTCGTCGCCACGGCTGGGCGCAGCTCGAAAGACCTGGTGCGTCTGGACCCTGGGAGGGGTCCTGGGACCGATTTCGAGCTGCTGCCGTCTCAGCTTGTCCTGCTCCGCCGAATGCTCAAGGCCATACCCTTAGTGGTTCTCCGCCCAACCGCAGCTCCACGTTGTGCAGGCTGCCCACGTGCCGCATCGGGCACGGCATACAGACGCCGTCTTCAAGTTTTGCGTTGCGCGCCAGCCAGAGCAGCTTGCGCGCAGGAGGCGTGCTGGCGTGCCGCACACTCGCGCGACAGATGCTTGCGCGCCGTGTGCGAGCGCGCGAGGATGTCAACATTGTGATGTGGAGTTTTTAGCCGGAAATGCGTTTGGAAGCTCCATAGCAGTGGAGCCAGCTGGGGGTCTGAGGTGGCCCAACACTGGCTCTGGCAAGCAGGACGGGCGGGCAGGTTCGAGGTGCTGGGTTCGATTTGTTTGTTTTTCTTTGTGCTCTCGTGTTTGCCTCGCTCGGCCTCCGGGGGCAGTTTTCGAGGCCCACCCTGAGGGTCTCGCGCGCCGGATCTCAGCCCGGCAGAAGATGGGGGAGGTTTGAGGAAGCGGTCGTAATCCGACATAACATATTCATTTTATGTTCAGAACATGTGTTATATAAACGTACATAATTAGCACGCAAGTAATATTTAAGTACAGATCAGCACGTTGAGATGTAAATCGCAACATATGCATAAAAATCAACACGCGCCAAACAATGATTCGACACGTATGAAGGACAGGTTTGGGAGGGAAATAACATCATAACGTTTTTTTGTTCGAATAAAGCACAAGTTGCACGGGAATGTGACACCAGCTATAGGCAGCCAGCGGCATATAGCTGTGGATGTAAGCTAGATGGCGCAATGATGTACGAAGCATGTGCAGCATTAGTCGTGACATCATATTGCCATAATAACTCTACGATTAAGTTAATGAGTGCATTAGTTACTTCCTTTATGATGTATTGCTAGATATGGAGACATCTTCGCAATTTTAAACACATGGGAATATTTCCTAGAATGCAGTTTCCGCTTGAGAACTTCGGTTCTTGCCCAAGATATCCTTATGAATCTGAGCATGCGGGAGTAATTGTAGTCGACGTCGTCGCCGACGTCGTCGTCGAACACGTTTTTTATAGTTAGGTGTTGTGTTTGTTATAGTTGTGTTTGTCTTGTGTTTTTGAACTGCAGGAGGTTGGTCCCTCCAAGGGGAAAGTAGTGTCGTGGCTCCTGGCGGCAGGCACGGGGCGCCCGCAAAGCTTGCACTGTCGCGCAAGCGGTGACGCATGCTTACTGTACACGCAAGCGTCGGTGTTGCCAGTTGCCAGATCATTAATGCTCTAGATTCTAGATCGTGCTGTTCGGTGTGCGCGTGGTGCTGCGCGGAGTCCTGTCCGATGGCGAGGCTGGCGACTCCACGAGAAAAAACTCATCTGCTGATGCTGTCGACCGCTGGGCTGAGAAGTCCTTCCACTTTGACGGGTCCTTCACTTTCCAACCGTACGGTACCCAGCTCTCTGGGTTGTTCGGGTCCCACGGGATAGATGGTTCCAGCCCGTTCTCTGTCTTGGTAGCTTCAGTCGTGTAGTCGATCCACCCTTGCGGGTTCTTGACCTGCCAGCCGTATGGGACCCACGTTTTCTCGTCATCTGGGTCCCACCAGTGAAGGGAGCAAGGGTTCATCGCACGCTTGTTGTAGTCCAAGTTCTCGTCCTCCTGCGACTTCGTGAAGTCGCGCTCCATGCCGAAGGGCCCCGTCATCGATATGTCATCTTGCAGCACCGCTTTGGCACAGCTGATGTGGTCGATGGCCTTGTTGATCGTCTCGAGCTGCATCTTCATCATCGTGATGTTGGTGTTCAGCGACATGCACTTCGCTGGGGTGCCGCACCGTTCCGCCTCGCCGCGGACAATGCTCATGCTGAGTGACCGTTGGTGCTCCTTCAGCAACTCGTGGCCTGCCTGGAATGATTCCACTGCAGCGTTCACCACGCTCGTGCTGCTCTTCAAGATCTGCTGCGACTGATGGATGCGGTAGTCGTCTGAACCGATCTCCTGCGCCCACGGCCGACCTCCGCGCTCCATGGCCGAACGATCCATGGATGTCGGCCTGCGGCGCTGCGCCTGGGACGTGGCGTCCTAGGCTGCACTCGAAAGTTCGAGCCAAGACTGGCAACGGAGTGAAGGGCAGACTGAAGCCCTGACGCTTCTTAAGTCCGAAGACATTCAACCACCACCACCAACCCCCTGGGCGTAGGTGGTTTAGGGAGCTTACTCTTCCAACCACAGTCTTCCCCTTCGGGGAGGGGTTTGCCCCGCTGCCCCACCCCCTCTCCTGGACATGGACGGGCGAAGGGGGGGGTGGGGGGAGGTGTCAGGGCGCCCAAACAGGCATCAGTTTTATTAAGGTGGTGGCCACGTGTTGGCCTCTTAATTTGGGGGGAGGCAATGCGAATTGCAACCGCCGCCGCATTTGACCGATGTCCTCCAACATGGCCCCAAGAAATGCCCATGAGGCTCCAAGAGGCCCCGCCATTGCCCCACGATGGCTCGAAGAGGCCCCCATCACCAAGATGACCCCACGCCGGCCGAAGAGTCCCCACCCCATTCCCCACGGCACCCAAGCCGCCCACGAGCACCCCAGGACCGCCAAGACACCCAATAAGACGCACCAAGAGGCCACCAAGAAGCGCGGTACCACAAGAGACTCCGATGGGCATCCACGAGACCTCGGGTCCTGTTGAGTGCCAGTCTCCTCCTGCACCGCAGTCATCCTCATACTCATGTCCTCCCCCCTCCTCCGCATCCTCATCCTCATCATCCTCATCTTTCTCCTCGCCCCCATCATCAGCATCATATTCATCTTCCGTGTCCCCACTCATCCATCCATGCGTCTAAGCTCAACCTTGTTCTTCCTCCTACCTCCTTCGCGCGGTTCGGTGGGGTCCATGCGTGCCCCCGCACTTCGTTGATCACCTCAACTTGCTTGGGCGTCGTTTCTGGATGAGCTGGTGGGGATACGCGGAGCGTCCAGACTTTCAACGGGTTTCATTGGTTTCTCATGAGTTGTGCAACCGATGTGTTGGTTATCGTGTGCAGCTGCTAACTCAGAGACTACGTGAATGCACGCATGCGAGTACCCATAGCGTTTAACGTGCACGCCATCCACATGCTGTAGTGTTACACTTACCCCAGCTCATCGCAGCATCAATCATGATTACGTTTCAGAACGGACGCGATACAATACAATGTTGACGTTGTTTCGGTTCGGGGCGATGTATGTTTGAAGGGTGGCACGAGGATAATGATGACGTTGCGATGGGCATGCGCAGTACATCGGTGGATGATGATGGTGATGATGCGGAGGAGGTGGACGGATGCATCGCCGATTGGCCCACGGGATGTTGTTGTTTGTTGTAAGGGGGATGGGGCAAGGATGCGGATGAGGTGTTGGTATTACTAGAGCTAAGATAGCATTGGGTGGTGAGGGTGACGATGAGGAGGTGGAGGATTGATGCACCATGGGTTTACTGCAACTCTTGAGCTCAAATAGCTCGAGCGCAACACCATCTTCAACATGTCAATCAGATTCTGAACCCTCTATCTCGACAGGGCCGTCTGACGGCCACGTCGGCACAGCACTGCCAACAGCTCTCAGTGTAAGTGCAGCTAGCCCTTGAGCGAATCCAGTCGGACTGGGCATAGGGTCCTGCGGGTGTGCACTGATCTCACCGCTCGCCGACTCTGTGTCCAACCGTCGCCACCCCCGTGCCTAACGTGTAAACCAAACAACTAAACAGGAGGCCCCAAACAGGCCCCATGAGCTGCACCCACCCCTTGATTTTAACACGCTGGAGATCATGAGCCCGCCAGGTTTCCACACCCGAAAGTCCGATGAGCCAGCAGCCGCGGTGCTGGATGCCATCTGTGGCCTCGAGTCGACGAGCGTGGAGATGAGGGCATCTGGCAGGTTCGTGGCAATGCTCATCTCCACGAGGCTGGCACAACCAAACTCCGCCTGGTGAGTTGTCACAAGTCGTGCGCCAACCATTTCAAGAACCCGCTTGACTGATGGATAGTCGTAAAATTTGGACTCGGACGACTGCACGATTATGAAATACACGCCCCTAGTGTGTGCGATCCATGAGAGCATCGCAACTGCACAAGCAATGGTGTTCGCGATCTTTGCACGTGCATCACCAGTCGAACCATGAATATTGACATGTCGTCCAGCAGTGAACCACTTGGGAGTGCTCCAGCACGAACTATTTGGCCTCATGAGAACCGTACCGCCTGCACGCACTGCGTACACCAACTTACATGCATAAGCGATCCCTGTAGTAGTGCTGAGATTTTCTGTCCAATGCCGTGTATCAACATCGAACTCGCGCATTCGGTGGTCGCCAGCGTACCTGAGCCAGAACGAGTAATCTCCACGACCAGAATACAGCTCGATCGCCATGTATACTCGTGCCGTGGACGCGTAGTGCCGTTGCACATGCATGGTTGCCGCATCGACCATGACAAACTCTGGAGCATCGACTGGCACATGCGTGTTGGCGTATACATCCTCGCGAAATTCCCAAGGAATGCCCTTGGGCGCCGCATGTTTGTCAATCCAAACAGGTATTTGCGAGTGAGGCTGCCCAACCAACGCAAGCCTAGATTCATCAGCGTCATATGTTTGTCCATTGCAGCACAAATCCCTGCCTCGTCGGGTCATGGTGGGTACACGTGGCAGGGCACTGCATATAAAGATACATCAGAGCCAGAACATGGCTACGACGGTGTGACGTCGATCGGAAACGGACGTCGCTATAACACCTTCGCGGGGGTGGGGTGGGGGGTGCAGGATGGTGGGGCGGGGGGGGGGAGTGCGAGGATGAGAAGACTTACGTTTCGAGAGGGGGGGGGGTGGGCGACGTTGAGGTGCGGAACCTGTGTCATGCGATGGCGTTCCTCCTGTCAGGCGGACAGGACGAGGAATGCACGACAAGCCTCCGATGGTTCACGCTCAACCTATCAGCTGCAGCGACGTTCAACCCAAATCACTGGTACCCACTGAAAACTCAATTGTGTTTCAACGCGTACTGACATGTCTGTCTTAATGCTGCAACATGTGTGTCACTGTGTGATAGTTTGCTGCGCTGACTGTTTGCGATGCTTGGTTTCGTTAGGTTGGTGTATTGCCCGTTCGATCCACTGCTGGTTCACATCCTCGCGCGTGTCGCGCTGTGTTTGGTTGTGTGTGGTCGGCGGTTTCCTGTTGTCTTTCGCTTGTTGGTCTGCCAAATCACGTTTTCCATGACACCGCTCGGTGATCACCCTCGCCCTGGTGCACCCTCGCACGCGCGTCAGAAAAAGACGAGCTAATCGCAAGGGCAGCTGGCTGATGCGGGG